GAAATAAGTAGACATGTTGTATAAAAGAAAGTCATTAAGATTATACTGTATTTTTCTGAACTTTCACATAAAAATGTAAGCTGCTTTATATTGGGGGAAATTGAGGATCAATCATGTAGATTTAACTCAATTTCCCAAAACACAAAACTAAATAAGTATACAAACTAAGTCTGTCTAATGTTAGAACCCATATATAGTTGTTTTTATAGTATCCCATTGATGGTTCCATTTATATATTGTCTATTTTATAATGCCTTTAAACCACAAAAAAAGGAAATAAAGAAAGGTTAAGATATTTAGGTATATTAAGTACCTCCTTCATTTCCATAGACATGTGACTTTACTTCTGAAATCTTTTTAAAATTCAGCTGCTTGCCTATCCAGCAGATTCTTAAGAGCTTTAGTGTTAAAAAGCTCTCATTACTTGCCTGACTGTTGGCTCCATGTCAAAGTTTGGCACTTCATCAGAGTAAAAGCTTTCTAAGCTCTTTCCTCAGGCTTGTGGTGCAGCTTGTCAGCAAGGGCAGGGAGACGAAAACTCTTTTTTGTTCTCCTCCCCAGATGTTCTCTCCTAACGATACTAGAGGCCACCTCCTCAATAACACTGTGCTTGCTCCCATACCTGAGCTTTGCAACTCAGACAAAACTAGCCATTCATCCATTCTTCCAACAAATGCTTTTTAAAAACTTTCTATATGCAAGGCACTATGCTAAGTACTAATAGTGAGGGAGGGGAAAGGAACACATCTTGGTAAACTGGATAAAAGGCAAGACTTAAATAGCATATAATGTCATGGAGGCAAAGGTAGCTTAATGTATTTAGGGAGAAGAATAAACTATATAAATCCAAGATGCAATTGAGTGAAGGTATAATAGAAACAAAGTGTAGGAGAAAGAAATATCCATAGTTCAGAATGGACTGGCCATGAATCAAAACATCATGTTGTCATCATAAAAGTAAATGAGCACTGTAAAATGAATGGGCTGTTTACTCACACTGATTATGCTACTTGGATTCAGTGTGCACTTATGTTCTATTTATTTAAAGCTAATCGGAAAACATTTGGAAAAATTTAAAGAACCCAAGAAAAGGAATATTTGGAAAACAATAAAGAGCATTACAATGCAACGTAATTGACCAATATAGAAATTTTTTTTAAATTTCTATCAAAGAAAGCATGCTGTCAAACTATTACTGTTGAGATGGTATCTTCTCTGTTTGTAGTATGAAAGCAATTACCTTTTCAAAATCAACTCATATTGTTAGTTTATATCACAACTATGAATAATGAAAGCAGTACATTTTACTTCCTGCTTTAGAAATGCATTTCCTCTCCCTAATGCAAACTATTCTAAACTCTCTTCTAGGAGTTCTAGGAGAACATGGGGAAAAATATGTTTCTACCCAATTATTTATTATTTTCTCAGGTAAGGTAAATTCATGATCCATAAAGCTATTTGGCAGTCTCTTCCTGTGAAATTAACTGCCTTTGAAAACCTGGCAGAGGGTCAGCTATTGGTCGGAACACAACAACAACATACATATCTGCATATATTATTATGAATGCTCGTGGTCTAGACTGGAGGGAGTTGGGTTGCTAATGCAAAGAAAGAAAGGAAGAAAGATAGGCAATTTTCTCTCATGCAATTTACAACCTCAGAAATCTAATGGAGAGTTATTATGAGTCTGTTCAGACTGGACAGCAATGTGTGTAAGCTTTTAGTTTTCTATATTAGTGTATCAAAGCTGAGTGATTAAAAACAGACTTTACATAATGAATAACTGACAATTTTATTTGTGCAGGAAAATGACTTTTGAAGTATGACTGTTGACTATCACTTTGAGATACTTTCCCTTGGGAAGGCAGCTATATAGTCATTAAGACCTTGAGCAATGAATTTGGAAGGATCGGTCTTCAAAGCCTGACCTTACATCTCTGTTCTTTTTTGAAAGTTGCTACCATAGTATCACTCTACAAAAGAAGGACATGAATATTTAGCTCAGAACTAGCAGGAAGTTTAAAAGAAATAATGCACAAAAAGTACTTGGCAATGTGTTTAATTATTGCTCTAAAAATTTGACTGAGATGACTAATAATTTTTGTTTTTGTTAAGTGCTGTCGAGTCAACTATGACTCATGTTGTTGTTGTTATGTGTCATCAACTTGTTTGCAACTCGTAGTGACCCTGTGTACAACAGCCCTGAAACCTGCTCTATCCTGTGACGACTTTACTGTGTCTCACACACCTACCTTCATTACCCCAGCCAATGTAAAAAGTATGATTTCCATCTCCAAGGACTGGTCCTTCCTTGCAACATGCCAAAGTATATCAGATGAAGCCTCAGAATTTTTGCCTCCAAAGACCAGTCTGGTTCACCCTCTCTAGGATTAATCTGTTTGTTCTCCTGGCAGTGCATGGTATATTCAACACTCTTCTCCAGCACCACAGCTCAAAGGCATAAATAAATTCTCTATCATCCCTAGTCACTCTCCAGCTCTCTGACGCATAGCAAGCAATTGAGAAGACTATGGCCTAGATGAGGTGTACCTTAATCTCTAGATTGACGTCATTGCTCTTCAGTACTCTGAGAGGTCCCTGAGAGCCGACTTTCCCAATGCAATTTGTCTCTTGATTTCCCGGCTGCTGCTACCAAGAGTGTTGATTGTGGAGCCAAGAAAACTAAAGCTATTAGCAATGACTCATAGCAACTCTATATACAACAGATCTGAAACTTGCCCTGTCATGTGGCATTCTCTCCATCTCCAACACACTTGAGACAATTGCTAAAATCATTGTGTAAATCCACTTTGTTGAGAGTTTTCTTCTCTTTCACTGACCCTCCACCTGTCCACGCATGATGTCATTCTCCAAGGACTGACCTTCTCTAAGAATGTGATCAATATCTATCAGTTGAAGTTTCACCTTCCTTGCTTCCAAGGATCACCATTGTTTTACTTTCTCCAAGACAGACTGGTTCTCTTGGCAGTTCATGGGACATTCAGTACTCTTCTCTAAAATCACAACTCATAGGCTCCAATTGTTCTTTTGTCAACCCTAGTCATTGTTCATCTTTTGGATGCATAGCAAGAAATTGAGAAGACCATAGCTTGAATCAGGTGCACCATAGTCTTTAAGCAACATCACTGATTTTAAGTACTCTGGCAAGGTCTTTCATGGAAGATTTTCCCAATAAAATTCATCTTTTGATTTCTTGACTGCTGGTTCCAACATTGTCAATTGTGGATCCAAATAAGATGAAATAATTGACAACTTACACTCTCCTCTATCATAATGTTGCCTGTAAAAATTGCTAGCGTACACTTTTTAAAACTAGAAATCACTATATGTTTTCCAGCACTCCATATTTCCTCAAAATCAATCTTTTTAGTGACTTCATATTATTGTAATGCATGACTATCCCACAGTTGATGTATATAATTCAATAGTGTAGAACATTTCTTATCATTGTTTTCTTTTACAAAAACACTACTGTGCATATTCTTACACACCTCTCACTAACTCCTTTTGAATATCATAGTAATGAAATTGCAATATCTTTAAGACTTTTGATACATATTGTTAAATTTCCTTCCAAAAATCTCACATCAGATTGCATTTTAAGTATGTGCTAAATAATGACACCCACATTCTAATTCTTCTGTTAGGATAATAGAATAAACTGGCTGCTAAACAGAGATAGAAAGAACCTAAGTCTTATTATGTTTATGATTGTTTTTGATATAGAATGGAGAAAGATATTAAAAATAGCTGATGTTGGAAGATAGATGTCCATGCTGACATCCCATGCATTCAAGTGGGTTGAACCAAGCAAATCTACAGGTAGAAGCCTTGTTGGGATGCTCCTAATGGGGAATAAATAATACCAGTGGATTCAGAAACAAAGTGGAAGCAGGAAATAAAATTAGAAAAGGTAAATACAATCATAGTACAGAGAGCACATATATTTAAAAGCCTGGGAATACATAAAAATGGCACAAGCAATTTGCTTAATTAACACTATCAAACAATTATTTGTTTAATTTCTTCAGACATTTTCTAGTAATTTCTAATGCCATAATAAAGAGTACATTAATATATAAGACAGCATGTTCTTGAGATGGCTTGACAATAACCATGTCCTGAGGTCTTTAAAGGTAGGGTCTATTTCGCATCAGTATTGGTTCCCTGCTGTCTATCTGGTTAAGCCATATATAATTTTTTGCTTGCATACATTTCTGTATATAAGGTTTGCTCAACTGGTTTCAGAAATCACTCTCTGTTCATGGGCAGGACTTTTGTTCTACAGCGATAAAGTCAATCAACTCAGATGGTGAAGCTAATGATAGTGTATTTTCTGAGATGAATCAAACATGTATGGGAATTAACAATATCTCCTTCAGCTATACATGATATTTTTATTCTCTGATACCAAGGAAAGGTGCTTTTCAATGATATATTCAGGAAAGAATTAAACTGACATTCTACATAATGCCAGAAAATGTCATCAGATTACTCTGGAAGTACATTTCATACTTTAAATGATTTTTCTAATTTTTAAATGCTCTTAATTAAATAAGACACTATTCAAAAGTTCTCCTTTATCAAATTCTTCCCAAGACTCTAGTTAGTTACATAAATTATTCAATTTTGGTATGTATAAAAAAATAGCTAGAGAATTGTCGAGTCCTCTGACATAAACTAAGAATGAAGGATTAAAAAAATAAATTTACAAGTAGCTAAAATTGGGCTAAATTTCAGTAATTCACAGTTATTCATAATATCACTAAGACAGCAAAATGCTTACAAAACCTGTGACTTGGTTGAGAAAAAAAAAAGGAAGAAAAAATATTCTATAATTATGTGTGTGCCTTATAATAGCACTGTGGTAGTTATGTTTTATTTTGAAAACAATGCATTATATCCATGGACAAAAGTTTCCATTAAACTTTAAAGGGAAGCACACAACTATGGAGATGAAAGGAGTTAAAGGTACTCACCTGAGCAAAGAGGGGTAGAAATGTGCTATGCCAGAGAACCAATGTAATGGTTGATTTAAAAACGATTTTAGGGAATCTGAAGAAGAATTATCTAGGCCGTGCTGAAATGTCCTAAGAAATAAAAACAATTACCATAAGCTAGAAACATTAATTATCAAGACCATTATTGTAGGAGCCAGAGTTTCAACTGACTTATAGCGATCCTACATATAAGAAAATGACATTCTGCCCATTGCAATACCATTTTCACAATTTCTTCAATATATTGTTGCCAATCCATCTTTTTGAGAGGTTTTCTCTTCCACTGCCTCTTCATCTTTACCAGTACAATGTCCCTTTCTGAGGTCTGTTCCTTCCATTGAAACTTTGTTTTTATTTAGTATTCAATGTTACTGATCTTCTAGAAAAAGGTATGGACAATGGACAATTAACATAATTCATCCATTAGAGATTTTGTGAATAGGCAATTCAGACCCGGTAGTTCAATATATGAACAACATTAAATGGAAAAATCCTAATTTCTATATAATAATCTTTAACAATGCAATCACCATTTCACTTTTTAAAATCTCAAAATCTGTGTCATTGATGAAATATATAAAATTAGTGTTAAGAATGCACATATGTCCTTCTCCCCTACTTGGATCCATAAATGTCAATATTTTGTCATATTCACTTCGTTAATATGAAAAAGTACAGCATAAAGTTACTTCTTTTTAATATTTAAATTTATTTCTAAATACTAAACAATTGATGAGGATTATAATTAATTTTGTATGTGCCTAAGGGCCTACCAAGAGCTTGTAAAGATGAAGTTAATTGTAAAATATGTGATAATAACTTCAAAACTAGAATAATTTGGCCCGAATTACCTAGTATACAACTATCTTTGGAGAGGAGATTAGAATATTTTTCTAGGTTGACGCAAATTCTACTATAAATCATTAGGTAATATGAAAAGATTTATTATATGGAATCTTTAATGCATAGCTTTGTTAATAAAAATTTCATAACAGGAGACTACATTTACCTACATAAAGTAAAGAATTAAGACTTGGATTATTTTTGAAATGGAATCTGTTAAAGTGTTACTATTTCTCTTTGCACATAGTGTCTTTGGATACTAAAAACTATTTAGAATAGAAGTTCCATTTTGAAAACTGATCTCTCCTCTCACTCCACATCCTGTTGCTTAAGTCATGTTTTCCAAGTGTGACTCTTCTTTCCTATGGATATATTGCTGAGTATAACATCATGTAATTAACATGACTTAGAAAATTTTTTAAGATTTTTTACTAAATAATCCATGAAAAGAATCTTTTCTCGATAAATATCAGATGAGAACAAAATTCCATGAGTAAGTTTTAAAATCAGTGTTATGGAATGAAAAGTGTCTCCCAAAATATTTCCTGAAATGACTTTCATTAGCCATTGACTTTGACCTTGTCATGTGGATGGACAGAAATATGCAAATAGGGTATATTTAATTTCTCTACAAATGAATTGGCTAGTCTTGCCATAAAATTGTGGGGATTCGGCAGCAGAATTTGAGAATCTCCCCACCAGCAAAGAAACAACGCAGGAAGCAATGCAGACCCTTCAGAGACAGGGGGTTTGTGCCAGCCAAATCTATAGGAGAGCAGCAGCAGACGTAGCAGAGGAAAAGGGAGCTGACATGACACAGATCTGACCATGGGACTGCTAATCTACAGAATCAGAGCTGGGAGGTTTTGTCCAGCATTTTCTACTTCCTTAATAAACCCCATGGTTTTGAGTATGGTTTGGTGTGCTATGTGAGCTATTGCAACAGATTTTGGACCCAGTAGAACAGTAGGATAGGTTTTGGAATTAGTGGAAAGGGATGTAGGAGCATGTGACACTTGCAAAATGGTTTTGTGCTGTAAATGATGATGATGGGGCTATTCCACTCTGAGGAGAGGTCACACTCAGCTGTCCCATGTTGCCCTTGCCCTTTTTACAAAATAATAAATCCTGTACCTCTAGATATGATATTGATATTGTTGTTGTTGTTATGTGCCATCGAGTCGTTTGCCACTCATAGCCCTAAACCCTGCTTTATCCTGTGCCAATCGCATTGCCTCTGACACACCCATCCGATTACCCCAGTCACTGAATCAATCCACCTCATAGAGGGTCTTCCCCTCCTGCGCTGTCCCTCTACCCTACCAACCATGATGTCCCGCTCCAAGGACCTGTCTCTCCTTACAACATGTCCAAAGTATGTCAAACGAAGCCCCAGAATCCTTGCCTCCGAGGAGTAGCCTGGTTTAACCCTCTCTAGGATGGATCTGTTTGTTTTCTTGGCAGTCCATGGTACATTCAATACTCTTCTGATGATACTGTTTGTAAATGAGGTTTTATTTGTTCAGTTGATGCCACACAAATATCAAGTGTGCCCTAAATTTGATCTCTTCTGAGTGATAAGAAGAGCAGATTAGATTTAGAGAGGTAAGGATGTAGTAGATAAGACAGATGTTATGTCAGGATCAAGAAAACACAAAGGACCCCTGAAGCTATAACAAGGAATGAACCTGAAGCTAATAACAAGGAATGAATTGACATATGAAGACCTCAATTTGGACTTTCAGCTCCACAAATGAGAAAAAAAGAAATGTTATTGAAGGCCACTCACTTGTTACTTGTGTTACAGCAGCACTAGCTAACAAAGTCCAGTGAAGCTTGCTCCCATTTTATGTATTCTACTAAGTGAGCTAGAGAGTTATGCAGAAGTCAAAACACCTTATCTGCTTTTCTAAGGAGTCTGGACTTAAGTAGCAACTCTATGAACAATAGAGCAGAACCTTGTCCTAGCCTGCATTACCCTCACTTCAGCCATGTTCAAGCCCAGTATTAGTCAGTGTTGTCAATCCATTTCCTTGAGTGTATTCTCTTCCTCTGAACTTCCATCTTTCCCATTCCGATGCCTTTTTCTGAAGACTAGACCCTACTAACAACATGCCTAGAGTAAATGAGACGAAGTTTTAACATCCATGCCTCTAAAGTACATCCTGGTTGCACTTCCTTCAAGACAGATTTGCTTCTCCTTTGGGAGGTTCATGAGATACTCGGTATTCCAATCTAACACCACAATTCAGTGGCATCTATTCTCCTTCTGTCATCCTCATTCATTGTCCAACTTGCGAATGCAGAGGAAGCAAATGAAAGCACCATGTGGATCAGGCACACCTTGGTATTTAAACTGGCATTGTTGTTTGTTAGCACTTTGGAGAGTTCTTAACAACAGATTTTCCTAATGCAACATGCCTTTTGATTCCTTGACCACTGCTATCATGACTGTGGAGCCAAATAAAATGAAATTGTTGACATCAATCTTTTCTTCATCTAACAAGATGCTGCTTATTGGTCCAGTGGTGAGGATTCTTGATGTCCTGATGTCAGCACTAATCCATATTGAAGATTGTAGTCTTTGATCTTCTGTAGCAAGTGCTGCAAGTCTTTGATTTTTGCAATTAAGGCTCTATCATCTGCATAAAACAGGTTGTTGAGTCTTCCTCCTATCCTGATGCCACATTCTTCTTCCTATAGTCCAAATTCTTGAATTATTTGCTCAGCATACAAATAGAATTGATAAGGAGAAAGGATACACTCTGCCACACAAGTTTCCTAATTTTAAATTATTCCTCAGTTCTGTCTGAACAACTGCTTCTTAATGTATGTATAGATTTCACATGAGCACTAGTGAGTACTGTAGGATTAAAATTGTTCTTCCTATTATGCATAATTTTTTTTGTGTGACTCACACAGTCAAATAGTCAAATAGCTTTTACATGGTCAATAAAACACAAGTAAACATCTTGGTATTCTCTGCTTTCATATGAGCTCCAGCTGACATCAGCAGTGATACCCCTTATACCACAGTCTCTTCTAAATCTATCTTGAATTTCTGGTATTTTTCCAGAAATTCCAGCCATTTTTTTATCATTTTCAACAAGCTTTGATATGCATGTGATATAACTATGCTGTTCAATAATTTACATACTCTGTTGAATCTCTCTCTCATTTTTAGAAATAGAGCAAATATGGACCTCTTCCAGTCAGTTGGCCATGAAGATGTCTTCAAATTTTTTGGACTTTGCACTTGTTATTATTACATATCTTTGAGTTGGAACAGACTCATAGCGGACCTTCCAGCAGGTATTCAGAGGCAGTAAACTGCACAGGAGAATACAGTCCATCATTCTCCCGTGGGGCAGCTGGTAGAGTTAAACAATGAACATTTAGGTGGGCTACACAATTTCACACTAGGAGATGGAAGTTGCTGAACAGATTAGAAAAGCCACTTCAACAGTAGTGAGAAGAATAAATTCAAAGGAAGGCAAGGGTGAAAAAGAGAGGTAGTGAAGATGATATTGTAGACCAAAGTAAGTAAGTAGACCAAATGGAAGATAATGAACGCCTAAACCAAGGCAGAAAAGACTGTCTTAGAGTTAAGAAAGAGGGAGCGGCCTAGTATGACTCACGGGCTTATCATTTAGTGTTGGATATGTTTAAGAGAAAAGCAAAGGACTCAACTGAAACTTAGATTTATAAATCCAGCACATATGAGACATATCCGGGTTGATGATATTGATGTGGACGTTATCTGCATTATGGGAAAGCCATGGGTTATGAAATCATCCAAAGAATGAATGTAAAATGAAAAGACGGTCAAGGAAAGAAAAATATATTAAGGTCTAGCAGAGTAAAGGAGACTATCAAGGGAAATCAAGAAGGTATAATCAAAGAAGTATCAAAGAGAAAATGACATTAGAGAAACTAAGGGAAAAGAAAATATCAGTGGTGTCAAAAATTGCAAAGAACAGAAGTGGACTGAGAATAAAAAGAGTCCACTGGAGTTAGTTATTAGGCATGCATGAACTGACTTTGTCCATGTTGTTGGTTACAGAAGCCCAGCCAGTTGCAGCACACTGAATGACTATTAGGCAAAGAAAGAAAGACAAGGAATGCAAACGATGTTCCAGGGAAGGAAACATAACAATAGACGTTGTTGTTGTTATGTGCCGTCGAGTCACTTGCGACTCATAGCGACCCTATGTACAACAGCCCTAAACCCTGCTCTATCCTGTGCC